ATTCAAACATGTTCTTCAACATTCTGTAAATATATATATATATATATCAAATTAATGTCAATAAAAAAATAAGATTTTAGGTGTATCCAGTCTTGTGAATAACTAACTACCTTAATCATTGGATCAGTTAGTCAAAATCAACGTAAAGCTAGAGTAAATGTGTACGTTAACCTGGCGTTACTACACCAGATGAGTAGCAAAAAATACCTAACTGATGTGATAAGAATGATGGTGAGAAAGATTGGATACTAAGAATAAGGTTCGGAAAGATAGCCAGTGAATTAGTTACAATGTAGAACTTTGTATGTACGTACATCACTTCAATCTGCCATACCAGATTAGCACAAAGGCATAATTGTCAATTCAAATCCCATAGTAGTAGAGGTAGTAGAAGTATTCGCAGTAGTCGGAGAGATTAAGGTTCTAGGATAATATTCAAGAAGTAGAATCTAGTGAAATAAACTTAAAGCGAGAAAGATACAGGTGATGAGGAATTCAGAAGATTACAATTTGACAGAAAACACAGAATAAATACACCCACATCAGTACAAACGATTTCGAGTCATATCATTCAAGATTTCTAACCATCAATTACTATCATGTCACGGACTCCAACCAGGTAGTATACACTTACCAACATGATTCAGACCACTTGTAAGTGAATTAATGGATTTGTGCTATGTTTTGGTTTGGTCGCCCCTAGCTTCCTTCCAGCCTAAAAAATACACCTCAATACAAAGCTCGTCGAGGCAATCAGTGGTTGGGCCGATGTGACCGCCGATTCTGGGACCGTATCATCCAAATATTTGTTACGACAATCACGTGGACACCAGTCATATAGTTTACACGTACTAACAAGGCCCAGTTCAAGATTCCATGACTTTATTAACTGATTTCCGGTCTTCGTTTTCTCCATCGCTGATGTCTAATTAACTCGAGACTATCTTATAAGAACTTTTGGTGAAATTGTAACAGTTTTAAAGCTTTTAATGTTCCAATTAGGATAACATTTAAAATAACTTACATTAATAAAAGAAATCTATTTTCCCAAGTATGTAACTTTTTTTATGAATAACACAAATGCACATTATTACTATTATTATTATCATTATTATTATTATTATTATTATTACTACTACTATTTAGATCGGTCATTACTAACAACACTAAACCGATGATGATTTCTTCCTGAAATATTACTACTCATGTGGTGTGAGCTACTTATAAGTAGTATATGACGTGAGTGTCAACGTAATGTCTGGCAGCAGAAGATGGGGGAAGATCAAGAAAGGAAGAAGAGTGGGAACACAATGGAATTTTCATGAAACGCATGAATAGTGACAATGGATTGATGTTTTGCAACAGGAACAGTCCAGTTCGATAGGATGGACTGATAATTTGCAAATGAACGATTTACGATATGGTTTTCCGATTTTACTGAGTATCTCTGTAATTTTCGCTAAATACAATTCGGTTGCCCCACCTGTGTTCTCGTTCACTAAACTCATACAATTAAAGCAGATAACCAATGTTTATCACTACTGAACTGTGTTCAGCTTCATAAAAAAAAAAATTTACAACCACAATTATTTGAATCATACATTACATCATCTAGAGAAAAAAAAGTTTATTAGCCATGACAGAAATAGAGAGAGAGACTGAAGAGCTAAAACTATATTCGGTTACAGATAGATATAGATATATTCAAATATGTCCATAATAAATAAGTAAACAAAATTAAGAATGAAGAGTTCATTCATTGTCCATTATAATTAATCTAACTCTACTCTATTTGTACTAAATGGATTTATGAATGTCAACAAACAATAGCACATACTTTCACATACACACACACACACCACACAATGATCCATGTTAATCTATAATAAACACATAAGCACAGATATAATACATCAACCAACCAATCAACTAACAAGATCATTCATTCACTCTAGAACATGGACATTAACATGCAAAAATTAAAACAAATTAATCCATAAACATAATTGAGTAAATTAATTAATTCTATTCTATTCAATTGTATTTACACAAAAAACAAATACAACATTTTAAACAAACAAATAACGAAGGAAAATAAATAAATATGTGAATAGTACACTATCATCACACCGAAATGCACACACACTCGCACACACACACCCGCGCACGCAACCTCAACGTCATTGCATAATCAACAACAATAAACAATCAGTGCACACATTCACACACGCACACACACACACACATTGTATAAACAACGCACAACAATAACAAAAACAACAAATGTACACTTTATTGAGTATTTAAACAAACAAACAAACGCAACACAATATGTATGCCAACCGCACAAATAAGACAGTCGTCAACTAATGAACTAATGTCTTCAGCTGATTTGGTGTAGATGAAGTTCACGTGACACTGCACTACTACTACAACAACAACAACTACAACTACAACTACTATTATTATTATTATTATTATTATTATTATAATGAACTAACTAACTAAGCAATTCACTCGCTCAGCTGATTTTGAGTTATAGCCCAATTGAACTAAATTTCAACAATCACATCGATTGAACGCATAAAAGAACACATAATAACAGAAATAACAAAAATAATAATAATAATAACAATAGCAAAAGAACAAAACAGTAAAGAGTTCATTCATATTGTAAGGTACCAACTAAACAGAGAAGAAAATTCACATAGGCTGGATAGAATAAAATCTTAACACAACTTATTTCCTTGTATATCATCATCTCATAAAGAAAGCATTATCCTGCTACCCAAACCCACACACATACACACACGCAACCGAACAATATGCATATCTTGATCATTTAATTCAAAGATCATCATCACCTCAGATGCCTGATGTTATCATCATCATCATCATCATCATCACCACAAAAATTCATTTGTTCATTCTATATGATCTTTATTCAACTGAACTACAAAAGTGCAAAACACAACTATATAAATGAATGTAATAAGTAGCGGTAATAGTAGTAGTAGTAGTGTTAGTAGTAGTAATCAAAATAAGTAAATAAACATGTAAATAAAAGGAGTTTAATGAAATGTACAATTAAAACATATATGTATATATATAACCGGCATTTTGTACATTAACAAAATAATCAGATTATTTATGTTATACTCTCTTAATAACCCTAACCTATAATAAATGGAGAAAAACATACGACTAAACATACAAACACACACACACAGTAACATAGTTGAACAAGGAGTGTGTATGAGCGAGAGAGAGAGAGAGAGTACATGAATATGTAAACACAGAATGTAAACAGCAGTTAAATCGAAAGCACACACGAAGGTCAGCTGAGGACAATAGAAATACCACCATATTATGTATATATGTATGCATTTAGTAATAACGATGATAATAATTACACCAGTGATTATGAATAGTAATAATAATAATAATAATAATTGTGGTAATTTAATTTATAAAATATCATTCACCTTAATTGCCTAACATATGTTGTATATAGATGGACAAAAAAAAATACATAATGGACTGGGCCCAATAATAATAACAATGATAATAATAATAATAATAATAATAATAATAAGGCTACATGAAAATAATAAATACTAGAAAAAGGATCATTAGTATGTATAAAAACATTTTGTAACTAATGTGAATAGTCGTCAGAGTAGTTTAATACTTAGAATTATGATAATAATAATACTTGCATTACAGGGGTTGTGAAGATTGTTAAGTTACACATTTTTTGAAACCATGAATCGATCAATGTTAGACCAGCACTAGAAACATGGAAGCACTGGACGGCCGTTTCGTCCTGGTATGGGACTCCTCAGCAGTGCGCATCCATGATTCCCGCACCTCGCAGGATTCGAACCCTGGACCTTCGGTATTGTGCGCGAACGCCCTAACCGTTAGACCACTGAGCCGGTACCTAACGGTGTTAATGTCTAACTTGATCAAATTCACGGAGTTGCGCAACCTCATACACAGTCTTCGGTAGACACTGCCTACACCCGAACAGGTTGAACTTCACAGTACCGAAGGTGCTGGGTTCGAATCGTGCAGGGTGCAGGAATCGTGGATGCGCACTGCTGAGGAGTCCCATACCAGGACGAAACGGCCGTCCAGTGCTTCCATGTTTCTAATGGTGGTCTAACATTGATCGATTCATGGTTTCAAAAAATAATAATACTGACTAACAGCGGTTAATGTATCACTGTGCAAAATAACAAATAATAATGATAGTTGGTGTTGAGAACGTTAGATCCCCAGAACTCGCTGGATAAATAAATGTCTTAATTTTGGATTTTATTCATAGATTGCTCAGTTGACCTTGAGATCACATTTCCCACATCACCCAGCACCTGGATGTTTGTAGGCTACACTTTCTACGCTATATCAATCAAGACTTTTCGTTAGTTCCTTTGGGTCAACGGATCAGAGTAGTTTACCCGGACACCGATTCATTGTCTCGTTCTCGTTTATCGACTAAGGTGAACAAGTAATAGTTTCAAGTGACTAGCATAACAGTTGCTTTCACCATCGATTAGCTAGCTGAATGACATCAACTTGAGAACTTGAGATCAATATTTAGTAACTGGCATATATATATATATATATATATATATATATATATTCAGTGAAAGTTATGCTCATATTTATGGCATTCATCTAAAAAAATGAACGGAAAACTACCTCAAAAAATTCTTAATATAGTACACATATTGAACATTGAAAAAAAAACAGATGCGCTACGTATTTTTTATCATCTCATTAATACATATTATTATTATTGGAAATATGTGATGGGCTATGAATTGACAATTTGATCTCTGTGTATGCTAATATAGTATGGCAACCTGAACTGATGTATGATGTATATACGCACGTACGTACGTACGTACGAAGTTCTACGTTGTAACTGACTGACTATGATAACAATAATAATAATAATCAATAAAAAATAATAATAATAATAATTAAATTACCGATCTCCATTTGTTGTTGGCATTGGTAAACCATTTGAATGATGCATTATCATATCAGACTGATGCTGATGTTGATGTTGTTGTTGTTGACCATTAGATGACGACAACATAATCGACGCTGATGATGAAAATGAATTTGACAAACATAGAGAATGAGTAGGATGTAGTAAAGATTGCATATGTTGTTGTAAATGATGATGATGGTTTTGTTGTTGTTGTTGTTGTTTTAAACAATCATTCAATTGTACAATAGCATATTGAGATGTTGAAGAATGATTATTATTATTATTATTATTATTATTATTATCAATTGGTGATATAGTATTGTCTAATGAATGATTATTATTATTATTGCTATTAGTATTATTATTATTATTATTGTGTTGACCAATATCATTTAATAATACTTCACGAGTTGTTACAGGAAATGCAGAATTATTAACATCAGTCGTATTATTATCATTATTATTATGATCGTTTAAATCATTTATTTGCTCACCTTCTTCTTCTTCGCCTTGATGTTGTTGTTCTTCATCGCCAGCAATAAACTCATCATCAGCATCCTCATCCCCACCACCATAATGATTATTATTATTACTATTATTATTATTACCATTATTAGTATTATTATTATTACTAGTGTTATTCAATTGATTTAAATCAGCTGATGAAGATGATGATTTTGATGATGTTTGTCGACGTTTACGAAATGCTTGACTAATTAAACATGTTTCACAATAAGGATCTAATTGCCAAAATGCACCTTTACCAGGTTCTGAATGAGAACGTGGTACACGAATAAAATAACGATTTAATGATAAATTATGACGTATTGAATTCTGTAATTTATCATGAGAAAATAAATAAAATATAGTTAACAATAAAGTTTTAAAATAATAGTAATGAGTTCATGCATGATATGAATGCGATATAAATCGAAATTTAGAGACAACTTGTTAACCTAATGCTAACACCAGTTAATTTCTTTACCCTCCCGGTATGCACTTTTACGATAATGGTCCAGAGTTTAAGCTTCAACTGGCGAGATTAGATTTCAGTGGAGGTCGAGACAGTTTTGACTCATTAGTTTCAAAATATGCATACGTTCTATCCCTAGTCTTGAGTCCGATTAGAGGAAACAGAAGGCAAGATTCTATTATCATACTACATTCAGGCAGCCAGTATATATTTATTTCACACACGCTAATATGAACATATATACGTGGATTATCAGAGCATAACACACTTTACATAAGAAATAGTAATTTAAACGCATTCAAAGCAAAAGATGACTAGACAGCGATAATTAGGAATAATAAAATACATCACAGCAGTTAATTGCCTACATAGAAGCTTACAATAAAGGGAATAGAGAAACATAACATAATCCAATCATCTAGAGGTTGTACAATAGAAATATAAACAATGATTTCAACCTTCCTAGCTACTTTATAATTTTGTCATCAGGTATTTGAGTGCAAGACATACTCTAAGTAAGATTAATGATAATACTCAGTTGCTGAAACCAAAGTAAGTGGAATGAAGTTGGAACCTAGATCTTTGCGACTGAAGTCCAACAACCTAACCATCAAGCTACTACTCTACATTGAGATAATAGGAAGAAATAAATCATGAATGGAAATATAATTTTCATCTGATTAATTCTATTTACAAATCTATGCAGAGCATACCGAAATAAGATGGAAATTCACACACTTGACATATATAGAGGTGGTCAGTTCACAAACGAAACTAATCAAGGACTGAAACCAACTGTAGAAAGTACATTTGCCACAATGGGACTAATTCCCCAGCAAACAACAAGGTAGTCGATAACATAGAGGAAGGTAAACAAATACTTGTCATATGTCACTTCTGATCACACACATCAATTTTATATGTGCATACAAAACTATATACATTGAAAGGATAGTCTGCTGGGTTTCTACATATTTTGTTGATCACATTCTCAAAAATCTACATCTCTATGGACAAACACAGTCTTCGTATCTTGATAGAACACCACTTTCCAGGTCGACGACACAGAGTAGATGCAATGAATACATTGAGAATGGTCAATATTCTAATTCAACTTTACTTCTACTTAGCTTCTCGGAAGCCATAGGATTGAGAAGAATTAAATGTGACCTTTTTATTCACAAAGACACATTGATTCCCTTTCAGGTGTTTTGATAACACAAGTGAAGTAAGCCTTTCGACTCTTCATTCCAATTGTCCATTGTCCTATCAATTTTTGTTTGCAAGCTAACAAGTTTAGCCTATACACCTGTCACTTTCTAAGCCTTTTAGAGTTTTCATCTAGTTAAATACAACGATATAAACCAATTGAAGACTTTTTCCCTTTTTAATCCATCAACCATTTTGCTTGGAACCTTAAAACTACACGTCATATGAAAGTTAGTCAAAGCTAGAATAATAATTTGTGAATTATCGTTAGCATGCACCCCTTAGGTAATATAATAGAAAATTATTTACTGGGTGGTGACATACTTCACTACTTTCATCTCCATGATGGTGATTTTCAATATTACTTTTCTGTGCTTTTATCTTACTCTATGAACTCATTGCTACTTCTCGGACCTGATACATTCTCTAATTGAATGAGTGACAATGATTTTCAAATCACTAACTATTTCTCTGACTTCCTTTTAATTTAAGTCTTGAATGAAAGACAATTAGGAGAGAGTATGAATGTAGGCTTTAATTTCCAGGTTAATTGACGTCCAGAAAACAAGGTTTATGGATGGTGCAAACATTCTGGAGGCTTGCAGAAACAATAAATTGACTGAAAAGTAGGTCATTGTCTACTTATAGTGTACAATACAGTCTGTTAATTTCTAGAGATTTGTGGATAGTTTCTATTGAGCACTGATTGAACGATTTACTTTTTAGTCAGACGCCAACTTCCAAAGCGTATTCGAGGGATTCGCAAGATCTCTTCAATGGAATCACGTGGTTAGTTTCTGTAACTAACACATATACTACTTCTGTTATTCCATTATTTTGATACCTTCATCTTGGTAATTTTATTTCGCTGTGTAATTGCTTGATTTGATAACTTGGATTGATGAAGCCGACTATACTATCTAACATGAGAGTACAATTCCTAGACACTGTCCTTATATTTAATATATCAAATAATGAAGTTTGAAATCAGTGAGTGAACTTGTTTTCTAACATTTGCTGGATACTTAGTACGGTTTAGTCTATTTGTTATCCACTCAGTGGAGACTTTTATGCAAAATTACTAGTGTTGATCTATCACTAACTATAGTGTACTTTACTATCTCAAATCAATTGAACCGGCATAACAAATACCATCTCCTGTATTCAATTATTTCTGCATTACGTACATTAATGTAGGTAAACTTTATGACTTTTAATCTAGTCCTCCTTCTTTCCTTATTAGACACATAGTTGAGAAAGATTATAAAATTACCTCACTTTATTTTTTGTTTTAGATAAAATTAGATTTATTGAAGTTTAACTCACCTATCCTCACTTCCTGTATGTTTAAAATACAACTTGTACACTTGTACACTTTAAACTAACCCTTGGTAGTATTGATTTTTTTTTTCTCGATAGAGTTTAGTGTAATTCACATCACTTATTTTTTCTTCTTCTTCGTTCAATTTCTCTATTTTGACCTTTTTATTTTTTATTTTTTTTTCATATATCAAATATCTTAACAAGTGATCAGATTATTATTATTATTATTCGAAATATGTATATGTCGCAAATATATATATATATATATATATATACATATATACATATATATGTATATATATATATATACACATATATACACATATATATACATATATATATATATATATATATATATATATATATATATATATATATATATATATATATATATATATATATATATATATCAGTACATAGTTTTGATGAACTTCATCTACTTCTTACGTATTTTGTAAATTAAGAATAGATTTTTCTAGATTAGAAAAAAATGAATATTGAATATGTTAACTACTCTCATCAGTGACGGTGATCACAGTGTATGTTGAATGAAAATGACGTTGCAGGTAAACTATTATGAACGTGAATAATATAGATACGGATTTAGAAATTTGAGGACAAGATTTTCCAGGTATATAAAAAGTGTAGAGCATGAGCAAGATTCATCTAGGATTCATAGTACTTAGTTGATTGGTTTAGAACTTAATATCTAGAGCCTCAATGTTGTTTATTTGGTGAAAAGGCTTTAATGTTAGTAATATTTTGAAGACACACCTTTTGTCAGCTACAACGTAGAACTCTATTTCCGTATGTTGGGGACATTAGATCCCCAGAACTCACTTGATAAAGCTCCTAATTTTGGATTTCGTGTTATTGCGCATGGACTGATCAGTTGACCTTGGGATTACATTTCCCGCTCGGAAAATCCTCGACTGTCATTGGCTGATGTGTTATTTTAGTACGCTATATTTGTGGTTCTACTAAGGACGTTTTTATGATGTATAAATAAGGTTGATTTGTATGCTTGTCAACTTTGTATTTTCGGGTGGTTGTATAATACACTTTCTATGCCATATCAAGACTTCTTGATATAATTAGCCGGGCCGGGGATAAACGGATTAGAATAGTCTATCGTGTCACTGGATCATTTGTCTTCGCTATCGTTTATCGGGTAAGGTGAACTCGTAATAGTTTCAACCATATCAATTGACGAACATATCACTGTATAAAACTTTTTCTATGAGTGACTTTGTTTCAGAGTAAGGTAACAGGAAACTTTTGATAAGCAGGTAGATATTTCATCCGCACAATCAGCTCAGTAAGTTTTAACTGATAATGAATGGAGGCTTTTAAATTAAGATGTATTTGTACCAACGTGACTGATTTTGAACCTTGTTATCGAATACCTTCAACTATTTGTGATAACAGCTGCATGGTGCCACAACTATGTGGTATTCGGTATCGATAAATATGGCTTAGAAATGTAATTTATGGTTGCATGAACTGGTACCACGTTTTGATTTGACAAAATTTAGATTTTTTCCAAATAAAATCGCCCATCGAAGTAGATGCTGTTTGGGAATACATAATATCTGTTAAAACCATAACCAGTTTATGTAGATTCACAACCACATCAACTGATTTGCCATTTTCGCCTAAAACTCTATGTCTACTAATCTTGATGTGACTCACTCAGTCGTTTTACAATGAGTGGGAAATGATTTATTTGGCTATCCCTAATTATAAGTCATGTACTTCAACTTCATATAAAAAAAAAGTAACCGATAGGCAAACCGGAACCATAATACTTCAATATTATACACGTTTACAGTAGTGTGGTGCGCGCTACTTATAAGTAGTATATGACGTGAGTGTCAACGTAATGTCTGGCAGCAGAAGATGGAGGAACATCAAGAAAGGAAAAGTGGGAACACAATGGAATTTGTATGAAACGCATGAATAGTGACTGAAATGTCAGACAATGGATTAATGATGGATTGAAGATTTGCAAATTAACCGTTTACGATATGGTTTTCCTATTTTGTACTGAGTAACTCTGTAATTTTCGTTAAATACAATTCGATTGCCCTCACCTGTGTTCTCCTTCACTACAATAAGAGAAAAATAATTCTTTTTCAAGAAAATACAAATAATAATTATAAATTTTTTGTTTTACACTACTTTCAAGTTACTTACCTGCCAACCTTTTTCATGTGGTTTATAATATGGAAATGTTTTTGAAATATGTGCATAAATATCAGCTAAAGTCAACCGTTGATTAGGCGCTGATGCAATAGCTTGAATAATTAATTGAGCATAAGAATAAGGCGGTTTACGAAATGTTGAGCCTCGATCAATTGCTGATGTTGTAGCTAAATTTGCAGCTAATTCATTGATAGTTGATTCATTTCCTTGATTATTGCGACTATTATTACTGTTATTATTATTATTATTATTATTATTATTATTATTATTACTATCATTATCATCATGATCATCATTGTGATTTGTGTGACAATTTGATGTGACATCTTGATGTATTGTTGTTACACTAGAATCGATAGTATCGTCAACATCATCTACTATCAAAGTGTTTTGTTCAATAACATCGGATTTCTGAAAATGAGGATCTGTAATGTTGGATGATAGTGGGAAAGGATTTTTTATTACATCGGATAAGCCATGGTCGAATGTGGAATAATCTGTAAATTAATGATAAATAAGGATGTTTAGAAAAAATAACTGATAAAACGTGCGTATCAATAAAACTAATTGTCATTTAAAGCTTGTTGTGAAGATTGTCGAATTAGAGGTTTCACATTACGACTGACTTTTGTTAAACAGCCGATGAAAACCAGGAATCAGTTGTTAGTTGTTTCGTCATTATGTGAGACTCTTCGGCAGTATGTGTCCACGACCCCTAACCCGGGGATCCAATTCGGGACATTTGGTCTCGAACTTGAACACCTAACAATTGAAGCCAACCGTCAAAATCTTTAAGGTTTTCAATGGCATTCTAGATAAGATCACTTTATGATCCAAAGTACGAAAATATTCTTGTGGGTAGAATAAAGAAATAAAAAACAAATTTACTGAAACGATAACCACTGAAAATTACGCAATATGGAGTGTGTGAAAAGTCGTTTTCTCTCTTTAGATTTCTTATCGCTTTTTCAATTTCATTAAGAGTTGGAGGACTTATATTAATTGGCCGTTCAGGTTGATTGGATATCGCGGGTAACCGGAGTGTTGCTGAATTCCAGCTGAACTGATCCCTAAAGTGTTCTGTCCATCGATCCAATCTCCTGGATTTCGAATGAATAATAGGCCCATCCATTTCCTAGATAGTCTCACTGGCAGTCGGATTTTTCTTATGGCAGTTTCCTTGATAAGTCGGAACAGTTGTATACTGTCACCTATGATCGCTGCCTTTTCCGTCACTCTTGCTTTCGCTACCCACCAATGTCCGTGATCATTGCATAGGCTATTTATCAGCTTGTGTTTAAGATGCCTCCGCTCCTCATCACGTTCAGAAAATGACAGGATGAGTTTCCGAGCACCTGTCAGTTCAGCAGGTGCTACTGAAGTCCACCGTGCCTCCTTAACCTTTTGGTTTACCTTACTGGCAGATATCACTGCTTTTTCCACAGCTGTCTGGATATCATTCCAAGCTGCCATGGGATGGGCATCACTTGTACATGGCTCTCTAACTGTTTTTCTAACTACTTTTGTATGGTTGAGTAGAACTCTAAGGTGTTTCCTTGCTTTTTTGCGTCCAGTAAAACGCAAACAAGTACGTACCTGTACTAGTGTATGATCCGAGTCTAAGCATGTACTCCGGAGTGAGCGACAGTCTTCTATCGAACCGGATGGCGATGTGACCTAGTTTAGTTCAGTATTGTGTCGATTTTAGGGGTCGCCATGACAAAAGATGCTGTTCCTTATGTTTAAAGTTAGTATTTGCCATAAATAGGCGGTTATCTGAGCATAGTTGCAACAGACGGTTACCGTTATATGTTCTTTGGGCTGAGAATCATAAGATCTACCTAGGTGTCTTTCCGTTTCTGGAAGTGCTAGCTCCGCTCTTCAAGAGATCTTACCGCCGGAGACGAAAATCCATGGGTTAAGGTGAGCTGTGACGTTTTGGGGGTCGTTCTTTTTTAACCACTTTCTTCTTGTGAGAAGGTAGTATTGGGACAAATGCTGGTTGTCCGTGGGAAACACCTTACTGCCGTCACACCTCTACAGTCAGCAGTACGACGTCAACCTCAGACCTTGAGTTGCTGCTTTTATTCTCATCGTTCTCCAATCAACCTGTCTGGCATGGTAGAACCTACAGGAACATATTTTCCAGCCAATATAGGTCGGTTGGGTCATCACGATGGGCAAGCTTGACCACCAGCAGCTACGGTTAGGGAGTAGTCAGTTTACAGTAGGTCGATGGTAAAGAATAGGAGAGAAGCAAACAAATGGTCGGAAGAATGAGTTATATTGTGTGCTGGGTTCGCTCTGATCAACGAAGTTACAAAGAAATATTGAAGACTAATTTTTTATCAGCTTGAGTCTAAACATATGTCGTCGGTAAAAGTGGAACTTCAAAGAACCATTTACGGCAGCGTCAATTTTTGATGACCACACACTACTGAAGCGTGTTATAAAACTGACTATATATCTATTTATATCAATGAGTGACCAAAGAAAAACAACCATTGAAAAGTAGGAAGCATTAAATGGTTGTTTCATCTTGGTATTGGATACTTCAATGGTGCATGTCGGTGATTCTGCCAGAAATCTAACCCTCAAAAACACTCTATACTGACAAGTATCGTCTGCTCATCAGTGATTGATTTTTCAATGATAATTATTGGGACTCTAATGCGAACTCGTGACCAGTGGTATTCAACTAGGACGGGTGAATCAATTACCTATCGACGGCATTGTAAGATAACTATGGAATATCAGGAACTATTAGAATTTAGATATTCTGAATGTTGGTTAATAGTACATCAGTCTAAAGGTCAACGTCTGGAGGACCTCTGGTTTGTGTGCACGCCGCTGAACGATTTTATATCAAAACAAACTAACTATCTAGTGCCTTCTATTCATTTGTTATCTCTAACCACATTTAGTCTATTTATTATACAGATAAAATTCTAAAATCACCACTGAAAATAGACTGGTCAGTCAGTCAGTTGCAACGTAGAACTTTGTACGTAAGTAAATCAGTTCATGTTGCCATACCACATCATCACACAGATGTAATTGTCAATTCAAATCCAATAGTAGAAGAGGTAGTAAAGGTATTAGAAGTAATCAGAGAGGTTAGGATTAGAAGATATTATTCAAGAAGTATGATTCAATGAGAAAAGTTTAGAAAGTCAAAACTAGGGGGTGGGGTTGAAGAATCCAGAAGATTAGGATTTGAGAGAACACAAAGAATAAATACATCGGCACCATTGCGAACGATTTTGAGCCATCGTCAGGCTGTAATATTATGAAGACTGACAAGTAATAATGTATTATTTCAAGTGCAATTATTATAGAGAACATTACTACTATTATTATTATTATTATTATCATAATCATCATCAATAATAACGATTACTAAAAAACTCAAATAAACAATATAGTAGTATCAGCTAAGCAGAAATAATACGATACGCATAACCAGATGATTTAGACAAACACATAAACACTTATTTGATTTTCATTTATCATTCAATTATTTTATCTAGGTAAAGTTGTTTTGTATTTTGTTTTTACTAGGCAAGAAAAAACAAGAGAAAACAAGGCCACATAACGTGTGTTAATGTCTAACCTGAAATAAAAATATATATATATATATATCTTAAGGACACTAGCCTTACAACTTACAAACATATATATATATATATATATATATATATAAAACTAAAGAAATGTGTTAAACACTCTATTTTCATTTGTTTTTTCTACCTTACTGTTTTACACTTTATTGAACATAAAACGATTAAAATTAACAGATTATAAGTAAATGTTATTAATTAAAGTTAAGCAAATATACATAAAGTTAAAAAAAAAAATCCCTAGCACAGTCTAAAGTACATGTCGAATTCACTAATCTGATTGGTTGGTTGGTTGGTAGTGGTGGTGGTAGAAATGAATTCGAGTTAAAGATAATTTATTTATTTATCATAACAGACTAACGTCTTGTTGGTGTTTTGGTACACATTACAGAATACTATTATATGTTACTGCCTATCGGCCCTTGATTTTGGACTTTTGAGTGTATATCTTAACAATCTTAATGTTAATAGAAGTCAGAGTCCAAAAAATGGTTGGTGAGACTATGAAGTTGAGTTATTTGGGTTCCAATTCGACAAGGAACATTAGTTCCTTCAAAGTCTCAAGTAAACCTTACTGATAAGTACAAGAATTAAATCTAAGTGTAAGGTTTTCTGATAAATGTCTCCAACAACTTAGCATCTTCACGTAGTATACTCAATTTTGATTCACCTAAACTAATGGTCACACTGCAACTTAATCAACGGAGCTTGATCAGCACCAAAGGACTAGGCAAATACGACATTAGTCCGTACTGCTCATTGGTTAATTAGTTGTTGAGAGTTTTTCAACTATTATTTTATCGAATTATTTACTCGGTATTTATTTAGTTTACAGTTTAAAGTGTGAAAAATATCAAAAATCCATAGATTTATACGTAGGGTACCTAGATGAGTTGTCAGTTTCATACATACATATAATAGCTATGTTCACATAAACTAGGAAACTATTATGATTTAAACATTATTGAGTCAATTATTTTCAATAGTAAAATTAAATAACAATCGCTAAGCTTACTAGATTCAGTTGATCTGGAGTCATATAGTCGATTAAAAGGAAAATTCACTAAATTAGATAATGCTAGTGTACTTCTTTTATGTACATCTAACTCGGATAACTGTGCAAGTGAATTAAAAGCAAATAATCTTGCGATATGATTTATGTTAGTTGCAACATCTGAAGCTTCACCTTGAAAAATGGATTCACCATCGATATGAAAAGATTTAGGTTGATGATTATTACTTTGAATAAGATTTTGAAGTACTGTTGTAGCTGCTTCAATTGCTGGAATATGAAAATTTTGATCTGTTTGTACAAGTAATGGCTCAACTGGTAATAAAGCATAGTTTGAAGTGGTTGAACCTTGTAGACCACTAAAAGATAAAGTTGAATTAGTATTTTGATTATCAGTTTTTGGGTTGCTATATGAAACATTATATTTTTGTTCAAGAGTAGTTCGACAAGTTTCCACTTCACGGGATAATGAGAGAGAGGAATTTTCTTCCGATTCTTTAGGTTTTAGGATCGGTGAAATGAGTGGCTCTGTCATATTTCTACAAAAGAAAAGTGTAAATATAAGAAAATATAACTAGGTAGATAAACAATTTTTAAATAAATCTACAAGAAGTTCCGTTTTCATGACAATATAGATAGTGAAATCTGATAAAAAGGTAACGTAAAATTGATTTAAGTTATCACATATCGTGTTTTGCGTTGCTGGGTTTATGTATCCTTCCATAATGGCACTAAACCTAAGGTAGGTAGATGTGTAGGTATTTTAAAGCATAGTAATTTCATTAGAAACAATCAAATACTTTCTGACTACCGAAACCAGTAGCATAAATACATTTTGTTAAATTAAAAGACAATCTTGCAAGTAAAAGCAAAGTTTTAAGCTAGATAGCAAACTCAAAATAATATAACAACTTCATCGGTTATTATCCTTAAAAAAAAACATAAATAATTCTACTCAGTAGTTAAGTAAGTTTGAGTAATCAATTTAGTTCATGTTGATTGTGAAAGAATAAGGGATGATAAGGGTTTTCAGAAATAAAATACTATGCGATTCGAATCTATAATCTGGCTGTCATACATAGAGAGCCTAAACTACAAATTTACTTTTAGAAGATACTGACTGGTTACCTTTTTTAAGATAAATATAGGGTCTGAAGCTGATTCAATGATTGAAACTAAGTACCAAGATAAACAAGTTACAATCACGTTGATATTTTAGGTTAACCAATCACATATGTGACACATTTTATACAAAGAAATAATTTGGGAAAAGGAAGGAATACCTCCATTCGCCATCACTATCTACGGTGTACAAATAAAAAGAGCCCTAAATCAATAGCTTTATGAAAACAAGATAGGTTTTATGATAACAGCTTAAAGTAATTTTGACATTCAACTGGGTCCAGTAATACAGATATATCTGTTAGTGTTCCACAGTTTCCACAACTCCGAGAAGATGTTTGATTTTATCTATCGAAAAGTCTTTCGACAGGACCTTACTTTGAAGGGAGTCACATACAAATGTACTATGTTATCAAAGGTACTCTTATTCCAGCACATATGACAATATAGAAGTTTATGGAGAATATTTATTTGAATTGATGGTTGGGAGAATTTTGCCGGAGTACATATTACTAATACCTATGTTTAACTTAGTCATAAATATGTTTCAACGTCTTTTTGATTGATTCATTACTATGAAATCTCTACGGAAAATAACGATAAACTCTTGTTAAACAAAGATGCTGAAAGATCCTGAGGCGTTGTGAAAACAAACTCAAGTGTTCAGTATAAATGTAGTACTGAATACGTTTATGATCCTAACTACTGTTCTGCACTGACAGCTGACTTGGGAGTAGAGGATAAAATGATTGAGTAGAAGTATCATTCTTCTTATTTGGATTTGCTTCATCAGCAACAAAATAATCTTAAAAGGAAGGTTTGATAGTGGTTGTTTGCCTGCAATATCGACGATGTCAGTTGAATACGTGGCTGTTTATCACAAGGCTTTTTACTCTTTTATGAGATAAGGTTGGTTTTAACATATGGTGTTGTATAAAGTAATTAATATGGTTAGTGGGAGATGTATGGATAAAAATATCATCTTAGGACTAGATGATTGTGAAAAACTGGAGGTTTGTCACTTCATGAAAAAAAATGGTAATGAATTTAGAGGGTGCAATAAGGAAAAAAGACAAAAGGAACAGGTAGTGAATAATTCTAGTGGAAACTAGCCGAAGCATGACATGAGGTATGGATTTTTAATAAAATGAAACTGAGGACAGACAACGATTTTAAAAACAGAATATGACTAACAACATACCACTAAGGATTGAACTCCTACAATCCACGAGGGTATTTTCCGTAGCTTACAAATACGCACTCGAATTTAATTATAAATTAAATATAAACTTGTTTGAGATATTATCATAACTTTGTCCGAGTATCACTCAAACAGGATGGTACAATAAAGTGAAGCTAAAACTTAGTATTAACTGGATATCACAGGCTCAAGTTTTCTGTGCATTATTTTATTTACTGGAGTTAGCACGCTGAAAGACTCATAAATTGTTTTAGTACAGCCTAACATATATACTAAATTCAAAATATTCTGATACACAACTTGCGCTCAAAGAATTTACTCCAAACTTAGACGCACATCTAAAATTAAAACAGTGGCAATAATTATTTTGAGGAAGGATATGATAAGACTACTAGGTTTTTATTTATATTTATGGAATCACCATTAATAAAATTGGATATATTATGTTTAAGATCTAGAATATAAGAAAATTGACAAATCTGTTGATAAAAGCCACGGAAAAATTTTTATAGAAACTTTAACTTGGTAGAGTAATGCATGTGCTTAGGTTTTCGTAAGTTTACTTACCTATCGTATTGATCAGTACTCAGTTTAGGCTCATTACCATTGGTGTGATCAAGTGAAAATCTCCAAGAAGCCCGCTTTTTCGGGTGGCAAAAAGGCTCTAGTTCGACCACTTCCACAATAATCACAATGTTAGTGCTCGGAAACCTTAGTTTACACCTGAATAATTGTGGATATATAATCAATCTGAATATTTGTATTACTTACCCATCAGGTAGAAGTACAAAATCCGGTCTTCCGACGTGGAAAGATCCGTCTATAAATATTCCATTTTTACTAAGACATTTAAGATATATATCTTTGTTTTTTCTGTGTATTTCTAGATGCTTGCGCGATACGCATTCAGAGTCGTCAAGACACACGTCAACAGGTATATGACTTTTACGACCGACTGTTATCACAGCTTTATCAAAAACAACTGTGCATGAAGGGCTTGTTATCTTAGTAGATAGTCTTTTGTTATCGATCATAAGTCTATGATCCGACTATCAAGCGGTTCAATAGCAAACCCATTGCTTTTGAAAAACACCCATACGCTGTAGGTCATTAAATTTGCTATGCGTATAGCTTAAACAAACTGCAGCCCGAAGCTCACAAATGAGATAAACACATCTAAAAACAAACAGAAACTGTTTTCCAGATTAATAAGATCGGTGTAGTCTCTCATATACCAAAAAATATAACGATTTTGATTGCGATCAATCTTATTACTAAAAAAAAATGTGTCGTCGTAGTGTAAGTTATTTGTATACTAAGGAACTGGCTATACGGAATTCATTGAATAAAGCATTTTCTCATATTTTTGAAGCACTTACGTATGCATTTTGAAACTGGTGCATACTGCCATTATTTTCACTCTCAGGTTCATCCGTTATGGACAGTAGAATGAAAAGCCGATGTTAGATCGCTCAAAAAAATCTTCAAATGACGCACACTCATGTGTGCACCACCCATAGTTACAGTTTGGTATGAAATTTGTAATGAATAACTGATATGCTTACCGTACAATACTTTATGCTGGGCTTAAATCTGACATATTAGAATTATTAGCATTTCGTCAGAAGTCAACAGAAAACCATTTGGACATACTAAAAAAGTGTAGCAAAGGGGTTACAGGATTAAGTTGCAACCGAAACTCATTAAAGATTAACTCATGTACAGCACCGTTTTTAGTCTTGATTATCTGTGTATTGATCATACATTTGACCTTTGGCAAATTCTCGAACCCTGTCTTACCAGTGTTGGTGAAAGAATTTGTTTTATCCGAGGGCAGTCTTTGGATGTATGAATAAAATTATCCTCCGGATGATCTGTCGAAGAGGGGTATCTATGATAAGTAGAAGTATTTGTATTTTAGGATCAAGAACTACGAGATGAGCACAAACGAATGTACTGTATTTAGAATTCGAAATCGAGCATTCAACAACAACAAGAAGTCACTAGTTCATTCAAATACCACATCCGCCACAGCTTAAATTGGAATCCAAGTGTCTGTAATCAATTGTACATCTTCTTCTCAAATTCATCCTGTGACTGTCCGACAGTGTATTGGATAAAGACTCTGTATTATCTAGAATGCTCTCATTAGTATTAGAATTACCAACCGAAATTGGAACAGACTCACCTGGTTCCTGGAATTGTATTTGATCAACATGTCGATTGTGTGTACTCAAGTCAATGATATCTAGAAGTCGCACCATAGATTTCCCGACATTCTTCAGAACAGTCCCCGTGGATGGTCAAAGATCATTGCCACGATAATATGTAACTTCTGCAGACTCCAAACATCTCATATTCGACCGAAGAATTCTTCCTTTTAATAGCTTTGATGGAGTCTCTTTCGTCACCGAATAACTGGCATTTCTATATTGCAGTAGAAAGGTATCTACTCCCCTCTCCAGCTCATTAAATGTTGAGGCGGCAATAGAATCAATAGCAGTTTTCAACGTCCTGACAAAATTTTCTGCCTGACCATTGGAACAAGGATGTCTGGGAGCAGTAAACAGATGTTTGCACCCTTTACCATTAAACCAGGTAGTGACTGCATCTGCAGCAAAATGAGTGCCGTTATCAGTCACTAACACCATTGGAACCCCTTCTCGACTAAACAATAATTGGTAATTGTCTGTATTTCCATGTTTATTAAATAAGGACCGTTTTTTCCCAGAATTATCGTGTTTTTGTTCCTGATCTGGGTCAATGCTTACCAAACTGCACCTATTCGAGACGGAGTGAACTGCTAGAGCAGAAAATCCATTTATACTATATCCAGTTCATCCCACTCTAGCTCAGCCCGGAAGACGAAAACAAATCCCCCTACTCCTTGCTCGCTCTGTGGCTACTGCTACTATGTACGAAACTGCCCATTTAGGCAACATCAATACAGGAAGTATAAGGTCATCGGTCATAAAGATGGTTTTTGCTTTAAGAGAAAGCCGGACCGAAGTGGCAGAAGTGCCAAGACGTCTGTTCCTATATCCGGTACCAATTCATTGAGCCAAATATCTTCCTGTCAAAGCTCATCACCAGGTGAGAGAAAACTCAATACTCTTAATGTTAACGGGCATTAGTGTAGATTGCCAATAGATACCGCATCTGATGTAACCATCCTCTCACGCAAAAACTGGACCAAATTGGGTAGCCCAAGCCTGCAGCACACAACACAGAATCCTCGTAAAGCGTGTGGTTATTACCTTCGTCTGTTAGGACAATTGGAATGTAAAGTAGCCTTCCGAGACTCTTCATTTACTGGGGTATGTTATATAACGCCAGCTAATCTAAATTTACTTGGTTTAGATTGGTTCATCCAGCTAAAATTGGCTGATGTCCCGTTAAATACCATATTCCACCAGGTATCACATGACCCTGAATCATATACGAAGAATCTAATGACGCAGTTTTCAACCATTTTTCAACCTGGATTAGGTCGGTGCACTGCCATGAAAGCAACGCTTCGGTTGAAACCTGGGGCTAAGCGTGCTTTCTGCCAAAGAGACCCGTACCTTATGCGACATTAGCAACAGTAGATGAAAAATTGAATAGTCTTCAACAACAAGGAGTTACCACTCCCGTTTCTTACTCTGCTTGGACAGCACCTAAAGTTGTTATTAGGAAGGCCAACAACACCATACGTATAATAATAGTAATAATAATAATAATTCATTCTCAAATAACAAACATGTTACAAGAGACATGCCAATTTACAGGCAAGATCAAAATGTTAAGATTAGCAACATATTTCTTTTAAAACGGTATACAGTTACTGAAACATTTCACGAGATTGATTGCAAGGTTACAGACATGAGTCATAGACGTGGTTAACAAGGAAAAGTAACAATATCACTGATTTGTTACATCCTGCTACATCGTAAGGAGCCGTAAGCAAACAAAATGTTCCGTCACACAGACATGGGAAGATTGAGGTTATCGCCTTTTCTACGGGTCTCAACGCAGCTCTGAAACAGCGTCATTATCCTCTGTCAGTCCCAGCAGATCTGTTCACTATGCTGAATGGGGGAAATTTTTTCGCGAAACTCGATCTAACTGATGCTTATTTGCAAGTGGAAGTATATGAAGCATCAAAAGGAGCTGCTTACTATCAATACCCATCGTGGTTTGTTCCAGTACAACCGTCTGCCTTTTGGAGTTAAGACTGCCCCATCTATCTTCCAAAAGCTAATGGATACTATCCTATCAGATATCTCAGGGGTTACAGCTTATCTCGATCATAACCTAATTGTTGAGAAGACATTAGAATAGCTACGGGAACGCATGACATTGGTACTACATGCATCAGTGAAATCGGTTCCCGGTTACGCCCAGAAAAATGCCAGTTTTTATTGCAGTCTGTAAAGTATTTAGGATTCATCTTTGATGCCGACGACAGCGGACCAGATCCTGAGAACATTCGAGCTATCAAACTGATGCCCACTCCCACTAATGTTTCAGGATTACGATCTTTTCTCGGATTAATCAGTTATTATTCAGCGTTTGTTCCTTCGATGAGTGATATTCGCGCTCCATTGAATTGTCTATTGCAGAAGAACAGCACTTGAAATTGGACCAAAGAGTGCGACGTAGCTTCTGGTAAACTCAAGTCCATAATTAGCTCGGAATTGTTGTAAACACACTACGACCCATCCATGCCAATCATCGTAGCAGCAGACGCTTCAGCGTATGGCCTAGGTGCTGTTATTTAACATCACTTTCCAGACGCGTGAGAAAAAGCCGTTATGCATGCATCCTGCACACCAACCCCGGAAGAAAAGAGGTACAGCCGGAGAGAGAAAGAGGCTCTTGCCCTTGTGTTTGCTGTTCGCCGTTTCCACAAGTTTCTGTACGGTCGGAGATTCACGCTCCTCACAGATCACAAGCCTCTGCTAGCAATATTTGGTTCAAAGTCTGGCATTACAGCCTAATGCACCAACATCAGTAGAGACAAAGCCGCAAAGACAATCCTATTACGGAGTGGGATGCCCTGTGTTCGCCCGTGACTACAGAACAAATCATGGTCCCTGGGTAGTGGCGCGAGAGACCTGAAGAGGTGAGAGAGTTATGCACTAAGTAGAGGTGGGAAGCGAAAGAAGGTCACGCCATCAAAACCAGATACACAAACGGCTAGCCCCAGTTCGTCCATCAAGAGCGAAAAATCTCTGCCTTGACATCTCGCTTGATACCTACAACCCACCAGCAGCCTCCAAGGGAAGAAACTTAGTCACAGGCTGATTTTCGTTCCCGAAGGTATCCTCTCAGACAGCGGCGAACAACAGTCGAGATTCAAGTCGACCCCAGAAGCGCACGCTGTTTAAAAGGGGAGGAGTGTTACGGATATTAGGTCCCCAGAACTCGCTGGGCTATTGGATATTGGATGCATCACCACCACTCCCCTCGAGGCAATCCTCAAAAGATTGCACATCAAAGAGCAAACACTCAGATTCGTGCACACTTTTTCTCACTGCGAGTCGTCGCAACTTGGAATGCTCTCCCAGCCGAGGTAGTTACAGCCCCCTCAGTGGACTGCTTTAAGAAGAGACTTGATAATCACGTACTCACATACGGACTATCATCTCCCTCTTGGACAAGCTGTGCCTGATGCATATCTTGAGACCTGCTAGTTGTTACCATTGCCATCTCCTCAGATCACTTAATTAATTTAACTCGCCTATTCCTCTCCCTTGCTTACACTTCGGTCCTCTCTCACAATCTTCACTACCAATTAATAAACTAAATTCATCTATATATTACTCAGTTCTGAAATTTTACTCATATTATCATTTTAATTTACCCTTATTACCCTTATTACTCTCCACATTGCAACTAACTGATCTCCGGTCTGGTAATGTGACGGCTGCTAGTATCCAGAAACCCTACTGCCCTGAAACAAACGTTTCATTCAAATCCCGAGACATACAAACTCACAACCAACTGCCAACTGACTAGAATTAGACAGTCGAGTGGCTAGACCTCCATCCATTGGACATTACCGAACACCTGGAACCGTACCGAAAGAACAAGAATCGAGCGCGAAGAAATCAAATTGGTTTACACTAGCTCGTGAAAAAGATATTAGATATTGGATATTGGAAGGTCATAGCAGAAAATATCAACGAACACATTCAAAACGTTACTCTACCGGCCTCTAGTTTTAATGATCGATTTTATCTTGCTGTCACTTTTATGCTGTATCTAATTACTGTCTGTTGCTTTCATGACTAGGTATAAGAGCATCCTATGTGGTTACTGAGTCTTCGGTCCACATTTTCTCTAGCTCTTTTGTCCAGTTTCTCGCACGCTCCCACAGCACACAAATTATATTCAACTTAAACCCGAACATACCAAATGTCTTCGGACGGTGAAGAAGATGCAGTAACTGAAGTCTACTGGCGATTGCTTACATTATTAGTTTCGGAATGTTATCCAGAAAAATGTACTAACTTATTTAAAGAAATAAATACGATATTGATTTTGATGTTTCTCGAAAACTAGGATGTACAGTTTTGGGTTAGGCATACTCAATAGTAGTCTTAAACCTCAAGTTATCAGCTTCAGTTTGCAATGCTGACCGAAACGTAAACTATACGCTCTTATCCTAACCTTAAACCATTGACTATAAGCCCCTATAAACTCGAAAATCGCTCATTTTTACTTGCTGAATCCTCATTGGGTGGTGTCAATAAGTCGTTGAAGTTATTTTTAGATTCTCTTAGCCTCACCCGCATAGTTCAGTCTGTCTATAATTATCATGTTTCTGTTGGTGGTGGTGTTCCTGGTTACAGCAACTTTGAGCCCTTTCATTTTCCTGAGTAACGTAGCACACTGAAGTGAACTAGTGGAAAAGTTTACTTGAGTAAGTTAGCTACCGGCTTGAACGTACTCATCGCCTATGTTATTCCCTAAAAATACTTTACTTTCTAAGGGTAATCCAACACTCGTTTTTCTAAAGTAAGCAGTACTGTAAGTCCTAATTAACGTATTAACTTTTTAAGTATGTTGTAAGCTAATAATCAAGATCGTTGGTTTGTTTACTTCCCAAATAAGAGGAGCATAATAATTTGTTCCGTCTTGTCCTTGCTCCTTGGCTTTGGTTATTCCCAAATTTGTGAATGAACAAGGTTTCTTTATTCCTAAGTTCACAAGCGACATTTAATTACATAGAGTTGTATTGGCAAGGAGCTGGAGACAGGCAAATCATGTTTACTCAAACTCGTTAATACGGGTACAGAGGGTCACCATACAAATCACTAAATGTATGTAGTCTGAGATACTGCTGTAGTGCCGAAGCTGGAGTTTGAGGTTTTCTTTGGGAATCACTCCCCTGCCTTCAACCTAGAGCTCTTATCAACAAGGCATTGAAACAACATAAAGGTATACAGTCTCATGGTAGCCGATGACAATGAACCATTTGTTCCCTCAAGATCCTAGAGTTCACGTGCTCTATTGACTTACACTTGGGTTCCTAGACTATAGGTACATCCTGTGTATTCACCATTCCTCTGTAAGTTCAGGAAACTCACGTTTTGTCATTTTATTGTGGTAAAGAACCCTCCCCATGTGAAGGTGATGAGTGGAAATTCTTTTCTAGTAATCGATTTATGGTTTTAAACGATGTAGTTGGGGTTCGCGCGATCAGGGGTTTGGGATTTCGGGTGATTTGGCTCAGAAGCGTTCATAATGCGGCAGATGCATTCAATCTCTATTTTCATCTAAATCTTGAATTCCAGTGTTCTCTTAAGCAAACCCTTTCAATTTCCTTTTAAAACATTCTCAATATTCACTTTTATTGTCGTCGCTACTACGTTATTTCCATTGTTTTCACCATCTTGATAATTTTTTCTCATACTATTATGGTATGATAACTTGAACCAATGCACATTGATGACTGGGTAAAAATAGGATCGGGTTCAGAGCAGTTAACTTTTATAACACCCTTTCTTTAAAAGCTATTGCCCCCTTTATTTGGACCTAATTTACAAACAGTAAGCCATTTGAAATAAACAGATTTTTTTTTGACTAATTACAGGTGCGAAGTAATGAAAAATCTTCCTTAAAGTAGTGTTAAATTATTATTGCTCTGATTTTTTAAAGCACTCTACTTATACTTCACCATTATTGTTTATTTTTTAATCTTTAGTTGACGTACATCTCCATGATAACGTTTCTTAAGAAATAATGCTTCTGATTAACCATCAATTCGCTCTTAAAGCTTACCAAAAGTTACAAATAATTACTTGTGCTTCTTTGAATCGTCATTATGGAAATTCACCATTACCAGTGGAATATTTTACAAAACTTCAAGAGGTAGCTGATCGTTGGCCTAATGATAATTGTGGTAGGAAAATGACTCTGAAAGATGAAATTAGACGTCGTGCAACCGAACGCTCCTCTGAACCAATACATGAAACAGACATTCAATTTTGGGAGAATGAATGTCAAAGTTTGTATCGTATCGCTAACAACCATTATCGAGATATTTATCAGCCTCCTTCTTGTCTTCGTGATGGTCGTAATGTACTAGGAACTATAGCTATAGCTGCAACTGGAGCTGATCTTACTGAATGTAGAAGGATTCTTTGTGAACGTGAAGAGAAAAATGTTTCTCTATTCAGACGTTTTATAAGTAAATTATTTTATTAGCCTTTCTTTTTATCTTTCATTATGAGAACTTCACTAAATATGTATTCATCAATTTTGATGTTATTTAACGTCTTTTTTGAAGATTATTAAGCTTCTGTTTTTGTAACATTTCTTTATCAGCTGATTCTCGAAATATGTAATACGTTAAATAAATCTAATCCATATCTGTGTATTTGAAATAGCACACTAAATAGATACGTCAAATTAGTTGATAAACTTGTCATTTTTGTCAATTATAATGGTTGAGACATATGTTACCTATGTCTAACCACCTACTATGAACTACAATTCAGGCTGGTGTTAGACTAAGCTTTAAGAAAGCGGTGATGGCCAAAATGAGAAATAAAATCAGTTTGCCAATTTTAACCGTTATATTGAACCATGTAGTTGGTCCGTGTCTATGTGATTGAGTTCTGTATGAGAATGGTGATTAACAATCAGTCTTTTATGAAATGAGTCAATATTGGTCACAGTAGTGTAGTTTCGTTCATTCTGTTTTTTATAGAACCTTGAGTTTTAAAGTTGTTTCATACTTCTCTTTCTACGAAGTAGTTTCTTCTTTTTGAGCGATATGTTTTAATTGATCTACACAATTGTCGACTCCATTTATTTGCTATATATTTTGTTCCTTTCGTCCTGATTTACCGTTATAATGTGACAACTCTGGCCGACCCGCAAGTTCTTGGCAACTTCAAATAAGTAACAAAGTTCAGTTTCAAAATGCGTTGTTCGTGGTACATTGTATGTATGTAAACTAACTTCATTACTATCGAAGAATATTGTTCAGACAAATCAAGGAAAAACGGTATTAGGAATCTGACGATTAGCAAGACTATCTCAGAAAAGGATGGGCTTATTATTCATTCTCAATCCAGGAGATTGAATCGATGGGCAGAACACTTTAGGGACCAGTTCAACTAGTGTTCAACCGGACTTCAGTTACCAACGATCCCCAGTCAACCTGAATAACGAATTTGTATAAATCCTCTGACTCTTATTGAAGTTGAAAAGGCTATAGGACATCTAAAGCGAGGGAGAGCAGCGGGTCCTGATAGACTGACCCCTGAGATTTTTAAGGATGGTGGTCCAGTTTTAACAGTTAGATTGACTGAGATCTTAGGTAGAATCTGAGAACTGGACGTAATCCCATCTGACTGGTCTCATTCATTGATTGTCTCAGTCTATGATAAAGGACGAAAGTCCTCTTGTGATAATCAAGGAAGAATACGTTTGACTAATATATTGTCTAAGATACTGGCTTCAATAATACTTTGACACCTAGCTAGGGCTCATAAAGAGCAGACTAGAGAAAACCAGACTGGTTCCCAACCCTGACGTGTCTGTATAAACCACATATTCACATTTCGACAGTTGCTAAAACACAGACATACATTTTGGCGTTCGACAATAATTGTATTTCTGGACCTTAAGGCAACATTTGAATCTGTTTGTTATGAGGTTTTGTGGCACATCTGGCCTTGAAAGGAGTACCAGAGAAGTACATTAACCTTATACAACTTCTCTACTCGAACACTACTGTTCGGCTTAGAGCTTATAGTGAACTGTCATCGGAATTGATTACCTCAAGTGGTGTTTGTCAAGCTTGCCCACTTCCTACATTCTTGTTTAACTTCGTCATTCACGTGCTTTTAGAGATAACACTTACATCGTTTGACTTTTCAGGAGTTGAACTTTTATTAGAAGATTCACTCGCTGACTTAGAATATACTGATGAAAGTTTTATTTGGTGAAGACGCTGAAAAAATACTGAGTCTTCTGCAAGCATGTTCGGAATGTGATTCTCCCCTTCGAAATAGAGAATTTTACTTCGAAATCGGGTTGCATCGGTGCTTGCACTAGTGGTATGGCGTGAAGTAGTTGAACGCGTTAACCCCTTCACTTGTCGTGGGAGTCTCATCAGTACTGATGGCCTGGTGAGTGACGAAATCTCAGCACGGATACAGAAGGCTCGATTGGCTTTTATCAGGTGCACCATATACGGCGTAGGCGAAATATCCGTCTTCTGATCAAACAACGAGTGTAATGTGCTGTAGTTCGCTCCATCCAACTTTACGGCTGTGAAGCATGGCCAGTCAGAGTAGAAGATATTCGTAGGCTACTGGTTCTCGATCATAGGTGTCTCTGAAGCATTGCTTGTGTATCCTGGGACAACCGAGTAAGATCTACTGTCGTTAGGAAAAGACTACTAGGTAAGGATGGCAGACCAATAGTTGAAGTTGTAAAACTTCGTCAGTTGAGGTGGCTTGGACATGTGTTACGTATGCTTAACCACCGACTGCCTCGACGAGCTATGTTTTGTGGTGTGGGAGTAGGTTAGAAGAAAGCAACGGTGACCAATCCGAAACATGGCACAAATCCATGAAGTCACTGACAACTGGATTGAGTTATTTTGGTAGGTGTCGTCTACCTGGTTGGGGCCTGCCAGATGATATGAATCGATGATTAGATATCTTGAATGACGTGGCTCAAAACCGTTTTCAAGGCCTCAGGTGCATACTTTCCCCCGAATCTGTATTCCTCGTGACCGTTTTTTCCCTTCTTTTGATCGATTCCACTGGGGTAGGCATCTCTAATGACGTGTTGGATCATTAATCTCTTCGATTACTGCAAATACTTCTACAACCTATACTCCTGTCTGATTTGTTTTGACAAGTGCGTTTCTGTGCTAATCTGATATGACAACTTGAACTGATGTACGTACGTACAAAGTTCTACGTTGTAACTGACTCCATTATTGATTTCAAGTTAATATTGAAGTGAAGGGTAAACAGGTAAGAAAAACATAATACTATCAGGAGATAGACTGTTTTAAAAATCCAGTCGTTAATCATGATACCACTTTAGTTCTCTGATAAAATTAGTTAAGAGTATCCTCACAGACACTCAATTTCGCTAAGAAGAATTTCGTAATTAGTTTTTAGTTTGAAGTGAACTGTCACGAATTGTATTGTATGTATTGTGGTTTATGATGTATTAATTGATGCCTAACTCTGTATGAGGACACAAGTTAAGAATGTTTACTTACACCAACGCCAAATGTTCGATGGTGTAGGTTGGGAGAAAGCTAGCTGTACAGCGGCAAAAAGTTACAACATCGCATCATTTCGCTGACTTTTAAGCTAAGTTGTATAGTTAAATGCAGAATAACTGGTTGGAGTCATTAAATGACATGGCTCTGAGTCAGTCATGACGACATAGATGCATTAATTTTGTCTGACATTAGATCTTGATGTCTGAAGTAATCTTAAATCATGTCTATCTATACCTGATTATTTTGTGATACTATTGTTACTGTTAACACTTCTACTATCTCGACGTTTATCTCGCTTTATTGATATAGTGTAGTAACCTAAAGTTATCTATATGTACCCGGTTCTACATTGCTTATAGGTGGCTGATTATTTCTTGATGCATAAACAGTATGACCTTCTAAGGAATTCTAATGCTGAGTACTAACTTTAACAATATTTAAAAACCTATTAGCACGACTACAAATTACCATGTTCAAATAATTCATTTAACAAAAATAAATTTATATGAGTTACGTTGGTAAAACGCTAGTCATATGTTACGATAATAATCACATGAACCAAATTCTTATCTGTTGTAATTCAATCGTGACATGTAAAGCAGGAACTATCGAGTAGTGTTAACTTCTTGAATTTATATTTTATATAAAACGAAAAATTCTTGAACTGTAACAAATTTTTCTCTATGTCGAGCAAGAATTTTCTATCTGAACTCTGTTCCTTCAAATCATTGGGTTGTATTCTTGAAATACGACGAGTGTACTGTGCAGTAGTTCGCTCCGTCTTACTTTATGGCTGTGAAACATGGCCAGTGAGAGTAGAAGATATTCGTAAGTTACTGGTTTTCGATCATAGGTGTCTTCGAAGCATTGCTCGTATATCCTGGGACACCCGAGTGAGCAACGCTGTTATTAGAAAACGGGTGCTAGGTAAGAATGGCAGATCAATAGATGAAGTAATGAAACTTCATCATTTGAGGTGGTTGGGACATGTGCTGCGTATGCCTAACCACCGACTGCCTCGGAGAGCTTTGTTTTGTAGTGTAGGAATAGGTTGGAAGAAAGCTAGGGGCGGCCAGACCAAAACATGGCAGAAATCCATGAAGTCATTGACGAGTGGACTGAGCCATGTCGGTAGTTGTCGACTACCTGGTTAGGGTCCACGAGATGATAATAATCGATGGTTAGAGACCCTGAATGACATGGCTCAAAACCGTTTGCAATGGCGCCGGTGCATTTATTCTTTGTGTTCTCTCAAATCTTAATCTTCTGGATCCTTCAACACCTCTAGTTTTGTCTTTCTAAACTTATCTCATTGAATCATACTTCTTGAACAATATCTTCTAATCCTAACTTCTCCGATTACTTCTAATACCTTTACTACCTCTACTACTATTGGAGTTGAATTGACAATTACATCTCTGTGCCGATGTAGTATGGCAACATGAACTAATGTACTTACGTACGAAGTTCTACGTTGCATCTGACTCTGACAGACTGATTTTCGAAATACGCACGATAATAAAATTGGAAAAAAACCAAAATAACTTTAATAGACAAATATTACTCCATGTCAATATTGGTCATTGTTAAGGTTAGTTTATTTGTTAAACAATCATGCAAAAATTATGTCTTAAACTTTCATAATAGTCCTCTACAAACAGCCATGATTACAATGAATTGTTCTGTCTCTAATATTGATGTAGCATGTAAAATCTAACTTGAAGCCTCACCTATTTACTTGTACTTACTTACCTTACCTACTCTTTGTAAGGTTAGAGATTTAATAGCAGCTCTAAGAATTAAATGGCTCTGTGTTGTCTTGCAGTGCATGAGTCATGTAATAGATCCAACTGAAGCATATTGACTACTCAACAGTAAACTTTAAATCTCTAGCTAATATCTCAGTTAGTATTACTTACAGCATAGGGCCGTTATAGATAAAGACCCT